GGGGCCATGGTGTGTGCCAGCCCCACCACCCTTTCCAGGTGCACTGCACTGAGTCTCCCCTGAGGGAGACGGTGTCCACACTGAGCTCCTTCTGGGCAGAGCCTTAGGACAGGTTCTGCGTCCCTCTCAGGCCTGGAACAGAATATAGGTTTAGGTGCAGACGGACATTCAATCCCCATTTTGGGCCTGGGCCAATAAGGCCTCATATATGGGGACCTGGTGGCCCTGTTAGCCCTGTGGATTGTTAGCTCAGACTGTTAGCTCACCCCTGCTGCCTTTCCCAGGAGGCCCCGAGTCTCTCCCTCCTCTAGGCCTGACCTCTGACCCCTGCTTTTAGGTCACCTCCTAGGTCAGGCCCTGCAGCCTAGACAGACAAATCCTTCACTCCCTAGTGCAACCAGGCTTTTCTAACAGCAGCATTACCAATAATAATAATAAAATAAGAAGTAGCATTAATAATTGCCATAGGCAGCACTTACTAAGTGTCAAGCACTATGCTGGGAGCTTCTAGATTTCATCTGGTTTAATTTTTAAAACCACCCTAAAAGATGGGTAGTACTACTCTGTTTTATAGAGGAGACTAAATCTAAAGTGACCTAGCTAATAAGTGACAGACTCTAAATTTAAGGCCAAGTCTATATGACTCCAAGGCCTAACCTGCCTTCCCCTCTTAAACCATGTCTCTTCCAAATTCAGGGACCCAGTCCTCCTGTGCATGAATGTGTGGCCCTGACCGGCCTCCGAGATTCCTCCCTCCTTCCCCAAGGACTGAACTACAGCTGGAAGGTCAGGCCTGTGTCAAAGCTGTCCATGGGCCAACCCCTAGCCCTTGTCCTCACCCCTCTCCCTGCTGGGTTGGGACCACACCCACACCAACCCAGCCCAGGCCTCAGGGCTGATGAATTGACCACCAGTCAGAGGCTGCTCAGCAAGGAGGCCAGCCTTCCCATTTCAGGAGTGAGGAGGAGGGGGGAGGGGAAGTGGGGGAGGACGGGGGAGGGAAAGTGGGGGAGGAGGGGGAGGGGAGGCGGGGGAGGGCGGCGGCAGCGGTGGTGGTGGCTGCAGTGGCAGACCAGCTGAGGGTATTGGGAAGGCAGCTCCCAGGCCCTCTGAAGCCCTGGGTTACCAGGCCTCCTGGGGCATGGGGGGAGGCTGGCAGAGGCAGGAGGAACAGAGCCTGTGTAACTGCATGGGAAGCTCTCCTGCCCCCACTTCTCCAGGTCCCAGGGCTCTTTCCTCAGGACAATGGATAGGGTGTCTCCAGCCTTCATCAAACATCAGGAGGAAGATGCTCAGGCCAAAGCACCGACCACAATGCACTATAACTCTAGTCTTGGGACTGTCTCTCCCACTAGACTGAGCGGCTTTGGGTCAGGAACAGTGTTTAATTGGTCTCTGTGTTCCCAGGGAGCAACACAGTGCCAGCACAGAGCACACCTCAGTGATGCCGGGCAGACGAGTGAGTGTGTGGAGGAATGGAGCCAGACGTGCCTCTGAGAAGAATTTCACGAGAGCTGGAGGCTGCCCCCCCCCCCCCGACCATGGACTTACACACCTACACCTCCATGTCCCTGGTTCCATCCTCCCTCCTGACCTCAGCTTCCCCACTCAATAGTCCACTGGTGTCCTCTGAGCTGCCCTGCACACACAGGCCTGCTAGGAACCCCTCTACCTGCTTGCTGGTTTGGTCAGGGCTCTTGGGATCTGGGAAATAAGGGCCTTTGGTAACTTGTTTGGAGTTATCTGTGCTCCCCTATGGATGTAGAAAGCATGGTCACCTCTAGCACAGACTGTTTTTTGGGTGGTTCAGTCTTCCTTTCCCACATCTTTCCCCTTCCCATATCCCATTCAGGACTCCTGGCCATCAGAGAGTTACACGCAATGAGCAACTGCTCACACAGCAAGCGGCAGGCAGCAGCCATGACTGAGGCCTACTACTTGTTCCAGCCCTGCCCAGCCAGGCCTTGGCTCCCGAACAGAGAGCTGCTCCTGCCAGAATTCTACAGGTGGGGCTTCAGACAGGTGCAGAGAGCTCTCCAGCAGCCCAGAGGCTGCATGGTTAGAAACAGCACTGCAGGAGCAAGACAAGCCTATGGCTGGGCACCAGGCAGCAGGGGGCCTGGAGAAGCAGAGCATGGGACAGGTCCTGTGAAGGCATTAGTCCTGGGCTTGAGGAGGAGAAGGGCACTAAAGAAGAGGCTACCTGCATAGCCAAAAGGGCCTTAACAAGCCCACTCTAGGTGCTGGGAGAGGTCGGCAGGCCCACGCTGGGTGCTAGGATTAGTGAGGCCATGGGCACCACTGGCTTTCCTCTGGCAGCTTTCTCTAAAGGCCCAGATTATCTTTGACTTTGGAGTCAGGGAAGGATCATGGAACTTCAGAGGACTGCTTCCCATCTCCTCTCTCTCCTTCCCACTCACCCCCACCAACCCTGTGAAGGAGTGCTCACCAACAGAAGGTTGGTCCTAGATCCCCGGGCACGGCAGGGCCAGGCCAGAGACATCAGCATGGGTGAGTGTGTGCCTGAGCACAGCCCACACTTCCTCATCCCCATCCTCATCCCCCTTCCTTTGATCAGCCAGCCACCAAGGCCAGGCCAGGCCAGGCTATAAGCTCTCTGACTCTTCCAGGGAAAAGTGAGGCCCTGCTGTCTGCAACCTGAGTGACCCATGTACAGTGGGTCTTCCGACCCTAGCTGGCTTCCTTCCTTTTCTTCTTTCTTTCCTTTTTTTTTTTTTTTTTTTGGTGAGGAGGACTAGCCCTGAGCTAATATCTGATGCCAATCCTCCCCTTTTTTCTTGAGGAAGATTGGCCCTGAGCTAACATCTGTGGCCATCTTCCTCCACTTTATATGGGACGCCGCCACAGCATGGCTTAACAAGCGGTGCGTTGGTGCGCACCCGGGATCCGAACCTGTGAACCGCGGGCCGCTGCAGTGGAGCACGCGCACTTAACTGCTTGCGCCACCGGGTCCACCCTTCTTCTTTCTTTCCTTACTCCCTTGGATGAATTCTAAGAGCCTTGAATTACTGACCTTGGTGTTCTTTTTTTTTTTGCTGAGGAAGACCGGCCCTGAGCTAACATCTATTGCCAATCCTCCTCCTTTTTTTCCCCAAAGCCCCAGTAGATAGTTGTGTCATAGTTGCACATCCTTCTAGTTGCTGTATGTGGGACGCGGCCTCAGCATGGCCGGAGAAGCGGTGCGTCGGTGCGTGCCTGGGATCTGAACCCGGGCCACCAGTAGCGGAGCGCACGCACTTAACCGCTAAGCCACGGGGCCGGCCCTGACCTTGGTGTTCTTGAAGGGAACACCTATCCTAGTCTGCCCAGCAGGAAGCAGGATCTGGTGTCTGAGCCAATTCCAGATCATTTATGGTGACTGAGCACTGAGGGGTAAAGAAGCAAACGGGATCAGGGCCCTGCCCTCTGGGAGCTCCTTTGACAGGTGTCCATGAGCAGAGGAGGGGATATACCAAGAGGGGGTGGGAAGATGGGCAGAAGGCCAGGGTGAGAAAGCAGACCCCACAGGCTCCCTAGGATCACCAAGGCAGACCCAATTTCCTCTCATTTCTCCCTTAAAAGTGCCTACCTGTGATCCCAGTTCCATTGCCTTCAAGGCAAAGAGAAAGGCTCTGAGGACACCAGTATCTTAGGCCCTAGGGTTCTAAAAACAGAGGACTGCTCCCTCAGCCCCTATTCCCTGTGGTTTGCATGGGCAGTGGGCCGGCTTGCAGCTGGGGCTGGCTGAAGCCAAATCCCTTCCTCTCCTCTGGGGAGCTACGCTGGACCCAGTGGAGCCTGGCTGCCTCATTCAGCCCGGCTCTGAGGTGGGTTCCCTTCCCCACCGTCCCCACCTACCTGAATTTCTGGACCTGACTTCTGTCTTCTATCTTGCTTGCTACCTACTTGACACTGCCTGCACTTGGCCTTGCTTGGGAAAGGCCTGTGGAGTTAAACCAAATTGCACTGAGACCTCCACAGGGAGGTTAAGCTGTTCCTGCCCCCCAACTCTCCTCTAAAGCTCCAGAAAGAACTAGCTTCTTACTGTAGGCGGAGGGCCGTCTGTCATCGTTCTCCTCTGCTGGGAGGCTTGGGTATTGGAAGATGAATGGCCTGAACTTTGCAGGGGCCCTCCCCTGGGGTGGCTGATGATAGCTGGTTGAAGAGAGAGGGGGAATGGTCCTGGACAAGTTGGCAGGTGTCCCTATAGGCCCAGAGCTGAGAAATAGAGGACTCAGGAGGGGACTCAGTAGAGGGTCCACTAAGGAGCAGTCTGACCCTACTCGGCCACCTAAGACCCTAAAGAAATAGGCCCAGAGCCTTGCCTGCCTAGAACAATGAGTACAGAATCTGATCATTCCCAGAGTGGAACCAGACTCAATGGCAGGTTGGGGACCTAACTGAAGGTCAGTGGCAAAAGTACAAAGTGGACAGAAGTCAGGTCTTATGATTTGGGAACTGGCCCCCTCAAGTGGAGGGGTCAGTTGTCCCTGCAGAGTGGCCCCAGGGCCCAATAAGGCCTTCCTCCCCTGGCTGGGACTGAGGATGGACCCACATGACCAGAGTCAGAGAGACCTCACAGAGGGTAAGAGGGGCTTGGAGAGGCAACGACAAGGCCAGGAAGTATGAAGATTAGGAGTAATGCTGGGGTGAGCCAGATAAGAGCTTTCCTTACCAGGGATCAAAGGCCAGGGAAGGGGCTACTGAGAAGGGACTTGGGGTCTGGCTAGAGAAGGCTGAGAAAGGACCTGCAGCCTGGGTATGTGGAGGCAGGCAGCAGATATCAGGCATATCAGCCCCAGGAGTCCGGGCCACTGACCTTGGCATCTCCTGGCCTCTCTGCTCCTTGGTTGTGTTGGGGTATCTTTCAGCTTTGGGTCATTAATGCTTCTTTTGAAAAGTTCTTACTTGTTCTTTGCTGAGTTCAAAGGAAGGGGCTGACTCAGAAGCTGGGTAGGGCCAGGCCAAGAGGGCAAGGAGCTGGTGCACAGGGAGCTCACCACTCTCTCCTTGTAGACGATGTACTTCAACCACTTGAAGTCCTGCCACTTGAAGCCAGCCAGGACAAAGAGAGAATCTCGTTCGTACTGCTCAGGCCGCTGCATGGCGCCCTCGGGGTAGGTGATGCGCAGGGTTGTTTTGCTGCCCACGTCCTTCTCAAAGCCTTTCACTGGTGCTGAGTTCAGTCTACAGAGAGCAGGCCCAGTCAGAGCCTGCCTTGGGCTCACTGCATGTGGTCTGTTTGGGGAGGCACCATGACCCCAGAATACCCCAGGTCACCTGGTGCCACCTAGCTTTCTGTTCCAAAGCCCTCCAACCCAGGGTTCTTCTTGAGGCCTCTGCTGACCTCCAGCCCTACTGGCCAGATGGACAGACAGTTCTGAATGGGCTCAGGGACCAGGGTTTGGGCCAGGACACACAGGTGCCTAAGGCACTGCTTTGGGGAACTCACCTGACCACAATGTCATAGTCATCAATTCGTGACCCCAGAGACTTGTTGGCAAGGACACCTCCATTGCCTACGATGATGCAGCGGCGGCAGCTGAGGCTGAGGGGAGAGAGGCAGAGACCTCTGGAGAGCTGTCCACTGGGTCTCCTTCTCCCCTACCCCTTTGGCCCTTGACCTCATGCCCTCGGCCAGGCACAGGCCGGAACAGAGGAAGAGGACCAGTGGGCTTCCACCAGCAGTTCTGAGGGGAGGCCAGAATCATACTGAGGAGCGGGGCCCCGTGGGGCTCTTAGACCTCCCTAGTCCCTGACACTCCCCAGGGAAGCGTGGGTGCGGAAAGGGCTTGGGCACTTGCTCCGGGGTGGTGAGGAAGGAGGCTCTGGTAAGATAGCATTCTGGGTGAAAGATTCCCCAAGGGTTGGTGGGGTTCAGGCAGCTTTCAGGAGAGAGGGAAAAGTGGGCTGAGCTTGAGGGCTATGCCAGAAAAGCAAGAACAGAGGAACGGGCCTGGAGGCTTGAGGACTCAAGGCTTGGCTTATCTTCGACTCAGAAGCCCCCATGCTCCCAGGAGTCACCAGTGAACCTTACTCATTTTGCGTCTCCCACACCTGACCCTGGTGCTTCCCCCATCCAGGGTCTGTTGGCTTCAGAGCTGTCACTCTCTCCTGGATTTAAGCCCTGGTCCCTTCAGCTGCCCCCACCACCCAGTCCCTCAGTCCCAATGCTTGGCTGATCCCAGCTCAGTGTCTTCAGTTTTTACCCTCAGACCTCTGATGTCTGAGGACTGAGATGTCTTGCCAAGTGCTTATAGCCACGAGGTGCAAGCCCAGCTGGATGGCCCCACTTATCTGCTCACCCACCCCAGCAGGTGTACTGTGTGTGTGCATGTGCATATGGTGGAGAATCTGCTCACGTCCAGGAAAGGCTGCTGGGCCTCAACACCTCTGCACATGCAGGCAGCTGGGGGGCAGGAGGCTGGGCTGCGAGTGGCTCACCTGTCCAAGGCAGGGGTCAGGCGGTACTCTTTGGTGACTGACAAGATGGCTTTGATCAGATTGTCTGTGGACAGAGGAGGGAGGTTTCTGTTAGAGGATCACTTAAGTTCCTGTGAAATGTTCACCAACGAGCAGATCTGAAGGCACACGCTCCTGGGGCTAGGGTGCAGGCAGACGCGGGAGGAGGGAGCTCTGGACACAAGGCTGGGCTGGGCCACTGCCTAACTTTCTCTGTGAGAAAGGAGATGGAGGCAGGAGAACAGGTAGGCATGCACAGCTCTGCCAGAGCCAGTTTTCCCCACGGCTTCCCCAGCTCTTCCCTGGGAGCCTCATCTGACTTTTGGAGGCTCTGCAGTCAGCCCCAGGGCATGCAGCCCCAGGGGGCACTTGCTTGGGAGCCGTGGCATATCAGTCTCCCCCAGCATGGGAGCACGTGCTCAAGAGACAGAGACCAGCTTGTGCTCACTTCTGCACCTCCACTGAGCAGACATCAGGAAGCACATGAGGAGACACAAACATTGAAGAGCTGGAGTGCGCCCAGCTGGCTCCCCAACTCAGACCACTCTGCCTCATTTTCTGAGCCCATCCTCCCCTCACTTCCTCCCTCTAACGCTGCTGACCTCTAATCTTGTTCTTGCTAGGCTGTCTCTACCTCCTGACCCTCTTACCTCTTCGAGCCCTGTGGCCTGGCATCTGCCCACCTGCACTCCATTCAGGTTGCCCTCAGCAAGGGCCCCATAACCTCTGTACTCTCAGATCCCGTGACCACTATTCAGACCTCATTCTTCTCGGCCCCTCTCTGGCTTGGGCAATGATGATTGCTCTCCTTTCAAACTCGGGCATAATGAGAGCATTATAATATAGTGTATAATGATTTGGCTTTGGAGTCAAATCCTGGCTCTGCTACCTACGAGCTCTGTGACCTCAGATAAGTAACTTCTTTGAGCTTTAGTTTCTTCACCTTTCAGTGGAGCGCGCGCACTTCACAGCTAAGCCACGGGGCCGGCCCTCTTCACCTTTCAAATGAAGATGGTAATTCTTACTGTGCAGAGTTGTTAGGAAGACAGAAAGATAATGTACATAAAGACTTAAAGGTAAAGTAAGGAAACTGGTACAAACACAGTGAAGAGCATTTTAATAAGATCAAGTGAGGATGCAGCTGTGCAGAGACTAAGATCTCACAACTCTACTCCTAGATGGAGAGCATCGAAAAATTCACACATTTGCTTAAGGAGACTTGTACAAGTATGTTCATTGCAGGACTGTCTGTAATAGCACACTGCTAGAGGCAACCTGAATGTCTACCAAAGGAAAACAGATTAAATGTGGTACATGGAGTATTACACCGCAGTCACAAAATCAATCACCTAGAGTCACATGTACCAATACAGATAAATCTGAAAAGCATAAGCAAAAACTCAATTTGAAAAATACACACACACACACACACACACACATATAAGATCATTTGTAAAGTTCCAAACTTGCAAAAACAATACCATATTTTTACTGGATATATAAATATGTCATAGAAATATATAAACAGGTATGGAATAACACCAAAACCAGGATAATGGTGTCCTGGGGAAGGAGGGAAATAAAGTGGGAAGGGCTACAGAAAGCTTTAATTATATCTCATGTTTTATTTCTTAAGCTGGGTAGAGAGTACCTGGGTACTCATTATATTCGTCTTTATGCTTTTTTATATGCCTGAACAATTTCATGCAAAGGAAGGATGCCTCTAAGATTAAAAATAATAACCTCATAATTTTTTAAAAGATAGGGTTGGACAACACTGTCAGATGCAGCTGAGAGGTCAAGTTAGGGACTGAAAAGTATCCTATGGATGTCACGGGGCACTGAGCAGTTTCACTGGGATGGTGGGGGAGAGGATATTCTTCAGGAGTAAATGGTGAGAAAGAGGAGACAAGGCACAGCTCATCCTTCCAGAGGTGGAATGAGAAAGGGGTAAGGAAAGAAACCTTTAAGGAATGTTCTATACTAAGTACCTTCAGGGGCCGGCCCTGTGGCTTAGCAGTTAAGTGCGTGCGCTCCGCTACTGGCGGCCCGGGTTCGGATCCCGGGCGCGCACCAACGCACCGCTTCTCCGGCCATGCTGAGGCCGCGTCCCACATACAGCAACTAGAAAGATGTGCAGCTATGACATACAACTATCTACTGGGGCTTTGGGGGAAAAAATAAATAAATAAAAACTAAGTGCCTTCAGATATACCTCACGGTGGGCTTCAGGGAAGGCCACAGATCCCCTCCCTTTCCTACCTCCAGTTTCACCTCTAAGGAAAAGCATATTGCCCTAATTGGCCAAGGTCAAGGCTATGGATTTGGTTTTTGTTTTCTAGGAGGGGAACCTTAGCAGAAAGGGCATAAACTGTCAGATGCTCTCTTGTCACTGGCCGATGGGCTCTGTATCGGCCTTTCCTGGCCTTCGCAGCTTAGTAGGATCAGAGTCTCAAGTGAGGATTTAGGAGAAAAGAGTGGGCTGCTTGGCTACCTGCACCCAGGAAAAAGGAGTTCTTCATATGGTTCAAGCCAACCCATTAGATTTGTCCTTAGAGGTGTGAGGTCACAGCTCCAGTTCAAGACTGTCCTCTTGCTGGCCACTGTCTTCCTTTCAGGGAGGGGTGGACTGGCTGAGTAGAGGGTGCAGGTATTCTTGAGTCCCCCGATCAAATGATATCACCCCTTTAACAGTTATCTTATTTAATTCTGACCACAACCTAATTCAATGGTATTGTTTTCTCCATTTAACCAATGAAGAAACTAAAGCACAGACAGGTTAAGTATCTTGTCCAAGGTGACAGCTAGTAAAGAGGTAGTACTGGGATCTGATCCTTCTATGTCTGACCCTAAAGCCCAAACTCTACCATGCCATGACATAGTGCAGGAACTTGACAAGAGAACAGAACTGTTAAACTGTCAGGGGCAGGAAAGTCTTAAGTGAGGAGGGAACTGCATGGGTGAGGTCCCCAAGGCAATGGAAGGGGACAGTTCTGAGAGTACAGGGGAAAGCTTAGCCTTGGACAGGATAAGAAAGCACTGGAGGGGAGACTAGGTTAAGGGGAAAAACATCAGGAGGGGATAATGGGGGAGCCTGGGGGCAGTCGTGGGGGCTGGCCTCTATTTTCTCTGGGATTTTCCCTCTCATGCCTGGTCCTCTAGTGCTGATGTCTCTGGACCCCCTTTCTGCGATCTCACAGCACTGTGTTCTTCCCTCATCAGAGTCCTCACTGTCCTGCACCCTAAGTGTCTGTGTCTCCACCAGACTGGAGCTTTTTGAGGAGATGGACCGCATCTGTCTACTCCACCATGGTATGCCTAGCCCTGGCAAAGTAGGGGGCTGAGTAGATATTCCACTCAAGAAGTAAGAAAAAAGGAAGGAAGGGAAAGAGGGAGAGAAGGAAGGACATTGTTGAGAGGGGGTGGATCCCCAGCATGGGGACTTCTGACGGTCCAGCCCTGTCCTAAAGAGTAGGGAGACAGTTTGGGGGATGAGATGTTAACGTAGAGTGGATCGGGGTTCCCAGCATACCTTGACCTTTGATCCCAAAGGGCGGCACAAATTCCCGGATCCTAGACCATTTGCGGAAGGAGTCATCCAGGAACATGGGTGCTGGCTTGGAGAACCTGGAATACAACGGGACTGTTGAAGATCCCAAAATGCAACAGGCTGGAGTACTGGTTGGCTCTCCTGTACAACTGCCTTCGCTCTGGATCTGCTGGAAGCGACCCTCGACATTCCAGCACACCCTCCCTACTCCAGCCTGTTCATTGGGTAGCTGCTGTGCGGGGTCTGACAGATCATGTTTAGTGGCGCCTGAGTTTGAAGGAGCAGGCCTGGCCAGTCCTTACGTGGCCAGCTGTAGGAGTGGAAAGACAAGATCTGCTCAGCAGGGATCAAAATCTCAGAGCTGGAAGCCCTCTGGCAGGTTATCCACACATGCATCCATCAAACAGTTACTACTGTCTACACTATTCCTGCAATCTGGGAACACGGAGATGAGACACTGTCCAGTTGAGCAGAGAAATACCCCAAAATACAGCCAGTGCAAGGAGACAGAATTTTTGAGAGAATTCTGGGAGGTGGACCACCCAGGGTGAGGAGGAAGGAGAATTCATGATGAGATGGCAAAGCAGGTGAAAAGCCATAGGAGATACAGAGTTGAGAGAGAAGAGAAAAATCGCAGTATCCTGCGGCTGGGAGGCAGGGCTGAGGGGGGCTCAGACAAGTAGAAGCCTGAGCACATTTGTTGGCAGAGAGAAGGACAGAGGGAAAAGCTCCTCAGGAGCTGGGGGAGGGTAAAGAGCTTAAGGGGAGGGGGTAATTTGGCTTGGAGGAAAGATGGGAGGGAAAAGGGGAGAGAAGGAAGGGTGAGGTGATGCTGAGTTGAGGAGAAGGAAAAAGGCAAGTTTCACTTTTTGGGGGAAAGCTGAGGAGCGGGTAGGGCAGGGTGCAGGCTTGGGGAGGATGGGACAAAGTCAGAAGGGATGCAGAAGGGAGTGAAGACAGGTGAAAAGGTACAGGAGGAACCAAGCTCTTCAGAAATGCTTGGACAACATGACTTCACATGGAACCTAGCACCCTGGTTTTGAGACCTTTTTCAGGGCACCTGGCAGCCCGGAAAATGGCCAGCGCCTGGTCCCTTGCTGTGTGCTGAGTCTTGCTGTGGGACCTGCTTAGGGCTTTCCTGGCCAAGAATGAATGCGTGGAGGCCTAGGCCTTCGTGGCTCCGTCTCTTTATCTCTAACTCAACCTGAATCAGCCACTGAACAACTGAAGACTGGAGGAGAGGCCCTCCCAGCCCCAAAGCTAGGACTTACCCCTCCTAATGTACTCTAACTCCAGCATACATCTCTCATTCTCATCATCAATAACACCATTACAATCACCATACCCAAGAGGAATAATATCAGTAATTACCCGGAGGTCTAATATTATTAGAGATTTTGAAGGGAACTTGAAAGAGGCAGAAAACCTTCAATACCGCTCCCTGCTCCATTACTTGCTGCTAGGAAGAAGCAGTCAACACTTGATAGCACAGAAAGGCCACTCCTGCATAGGGCTTTCCTTTGGACTTCTGAGTTAGCACACTTCCCTCTTCTGAGCACAAGGGTCATGCATGTTTCTCATACCTAGTATACAAAATCTAAGTGAATTCATATATCTGCTGTTGTGGCAGAGGCACCGAGGATCCCGGCCACAGTCTTTGTGTAACAGCAAAGGACACAAGGTCCCTGGATGAGCCTGCACCAAGAGCCTCTCCTTCTGCGTCAGGACTGAGCTCATAAAATGTTTGCAAAGCTTCTCAGTCAGGCTTGGACAGGATTTTATCTGCTTCCCAATATGTACTGGATGTCACACGCTAATAAAATCTCCTAAGATCTAGCCAAATAGTCTCAACATATTTTTTCCTTTTCCTCTCCCTTCCCCCCTTTTTTCAGCTGATTAGAAAGTTCATTATGTTAATTTTTACTTTTTAAAAAAACCTTATTTTGGTGTCACTTGTAATGTGTGTTAATTTTGGAAAAAATACAGACAGGTGCACACACACACAAATAAAAAATACCTATAATCCTACAACACAGAAACAATTAATTTTTTGTTATATACCTGTACTGATCTTCCTTTTCCCATCTCATTTTTTAGACTGCTCTGTAGACTATTTTATTCACTTTATAATATTATGAAAACATGGCTATGCAAATGGACACAACTTCTCTTAATACACAGACATTGGGTCAAACAACAAAAACCATAAGCTGCTGCTAACCTGACACAAATTGACCCCCCAAAAATAGAATGTAGAAGGATACACAAATGAAAATATGACTGAAAAAGTAGGAGTTGGAATATTAGTGTTATGAACTGAATGTCTGTGTCCCCTCAAAATTCATGTTGAAATTTAATCCCCATTATGATGGTATTTGGAGGTGAGGCCTTTGGGAGGTGATTAGATCATGAGGGTGGAGCCTTCGTGATGGGATTAGTGTCCTTATAGGAAGAGGCCAGTGAGCTAAATAGCTCTCTTTCTGCCATTGGAGGATACAGGAGAAGTCAGCCACCTGCAACCCGGAAGAGGGCTCTCACCAGGACCCAACCATGCTGTTACCATGGTCTTGGACTTCCAGCCTCCAGAACAGTGAGAAATAAATTCTTGTTGTTTATAAGCCACCCAACTTAACGGTATTTTGTTATAGCAGCCAGAGCTGACTAAGACAATAAGTAATGGGCAAAAAAAAATTCATGGGCAAGATCATGGCAAAAAGCATTAAACGGACCTACCTGATAAGGGTTTAATAAAAATCTTTGCCTCTAGTTTATAACCTATTTATTTCTTGTTTTTATTATCTGTTTTCAAACTTTTTCCATTTCACCTCATTCTTTTACTGGGCCTTCATGTTTTAGATGCTCATTTTAGAGGCCCTCTTTATATTCCTTGAAAGACTGAGCCAGCCCTTCTCTAGCATTTCTTTCTGCTATGGGGTGCACTTTTGTGCAGAGGGTACTCTTTTTCCCTCCTGTGCATATATTTTCTTTTTTTGATTTTTTCTTTTCTTTCTTCTTCTTCTTTTTTTTTTTGTGAGGAAGATTAGCCCTGAGCTAACATCTGCTGCCAATCCTCCTCTTTTTGCTGAGGAAGATTGGCCCTGGGCTAACGTCCGTGCCCATCTTCCTCAATTTTATATGGGACACCGCCACAGCATGGCTTGACAAGTGGTGCCTCGATGAGAGCCCAGGATCCGAACCTGTGAACCCTGGGCCACCAAAGCAGAGAGTGTGCACTTAACCACTGTGCCACTGGGACAGCCCCCTGTGCAGATATTTTTAAAACTTTTTATTATGGGAAATTTAAAACATGTGCAAAAGTCAGGAAAAAAAAACAGTACAGTAACCCCCCATGGACTCATTACCCAGATTCAGCAATTATCAATCATGGTCAATTTTGTTTCTTTTATACCCCATCTACTTTCTTCTTGTATTATTTTGGAAAATCCCAGAAATCATGCTATTTCATCCATAAAATATTTCAGCATTAATTTCTAAAAGATAAGGACACCTTAAAAAACATAACCACACCTCAACAACTCCTCTTCAAGCCATCATCACACCTAAAAAACTATTATTTCTTAACAGCAACAAATAGCTAGTCAGTTTCCAGATTTCTCCTATCTTCTCACTAATGTTTGTTGTTGTTGTTTATTGTAACAGTTGGTTTATTTCAATCAGAATGAAAGCATGGTCCACACGTTGAATTTGGCTGACTTCTATGTCTCTTTTAAAGACATAGGTTTCCTCCTCTCTGTTTTTCCCCTTTGGCGTTTTCATCTTGGCTCCTGAATCCTTTTGACACACTCCAGTAATCTCAAATACTGTCCTTGCTTTCTACTGTGTAAAGATGTTTCAGGCTCATCTTGTACATTTCTTGCCTCCACCTGGAATCAGTCATTTTCTCAAGGAGCCTTGGTTCCTTCTAATTGGAAACGGTATTTAGAGACCATCATCTGGGTAGCTTGGGATGTTCAAGTCACTATGGGTTAGTCATTGTTTCCAGGCCTTTGCAGGGGGACAAAGCTAGGAAATAATTTTTTAAAGAGAAAATACATCATGTATTTATACTGGTACTCCTAATTCAAATTTAGGATTACAAGATTTGTACTTACCTTCTTTTTCTTTTTTAATAAATAGTTTTATTGAGATATAATTCACATAAAAGTCATCTATTTACTAACCTTCTTTGACTTGATATTTGTATCTCTTTTTTCTTAAGCAGACATCTTTGTTCATAGTGATATTAACACAATTACTTATTTGCTTTATCCTAATATATACATATAGATACATACACATACATACAGAAAACACGTAATAGTTTCAGAATAACATTGCTAATATGATCATTACTAAGAACAATTTAAAGTTTCTTTGTAGTTCTTTACTAAGAACAATTTAAAGTTTCTTTGTAGTTCTTTTTGCCTTAGGGTATACCCCACTAGAGAAGTACAGACAAATTACTTTGCTTTTGACACTTGAAATAATTCAGCTGAGTTTAATTCATCAATGATACATAGTTAAGTTCATTTGTTTCAGTTTGCTTTTGCTTTTTAGTGGTTGCTTATCTCTCATTTTAATTAAACTTTATGATGATATAAAACTTTACATAGTTCCAAAATTAAATTCACAAAACAAGATATATTCAGAGGAGTCTAACTTTCAACTCTGTGTCTAATTCCTGTTACTTCTATTCATATATAGTATTCATTTTTAATAGTTTTTATTTTATCCTTCCTTTGTTATTTTTTTGATGTAGCAAATACTTAATACGTGTATGTATTTCTATTCCCTTCTTTATTCAATAAAAAGGCCACATACTGAATACACCATTTCGCCTATAGTTTTTTCCACTATATAATATATGGTGGCGATCACTCCATAGTAGGATGAGAGTTATATACTTCATAATAGCCCATTATGGTTATGTTCCATATATTATTCAGTCAGTCCCCTGGGTTTTTCAGTCTTTTGTAAAGCAGGTTCCACCAATAGTGGTTACAATGAATAACTTCACGTATATGTCTTTTCCATTTGCTGATATATCTTTGGAATACATTCCTAGAAGTGGGTTTGC